TCCTAATTGTAAAATGTGTATCTCGCCCCGTTGTACATTTGTTCATGTTTCTGTAATCTTTCATTCGTTAGGTCGGTGGAGCGTTTGCTCCTCCTCTGAAGGATCTGTGCCGGTTCCTTCAGGAGAACCCCGAGTACGGAGTCCCACCTGAATGGGCTGATGTCGTCAAACAGTCGGTGAGTCACTCGCTAACAAATTCATCCAAACTATTACTGGACTAAGATGTGTCAGAAAAGTGTTTTAACTGTGTTATCAATACACTGTTGCATCTGTATTAGATACTCTTAGCCACAAATCAAATCAATAACTTCCCAGTAATAAATCCTTTACTGTTTTAGAAGGTGTGATTTAATGGTAATATTATTCTGGAAGCTGTAGTTTATGGTGTTATATTTGATCTGCATGAAGGTAGGCTACAGTTTCAACAACTGTGATGAATGTAGGATTGGTTGCAGGGCTGTTGTGTCGGACTGCTTTAGTTTGAGCTAGATGCACCTAGAGAATTAACAATGTACAGTATATGCGTCTTTTCATGTACTGTGATTTGCAGTGAAGTATCATCTCTAGCTGCGCTGTGTATCTCTGCTCACCCTGCATATATTCCCTCCACATTGTCTCCAGGGTTACCTCCCAGAGAGCATGTTTGACAGGATCCTGACGGGACCCATCGTTCCTGAGGAGGTGAGCCGGCGTGGACGTCGACCCAAGAACCCTCTGGCCAAGGCAGCGGCGGCAGCAGCAGCAGCAGCAGCTTCAGCCCCCAACCCCGCTGCCATGGGCCTGAACCCCCTGCTGGCCAACGGGCTGCTCTCTGGGCTGGACCTCAGCAGCCTGCAGGCCTTCCAGCAGAACCTGCAGAGCCTCCAGAGCCTGCAGCTCACCGCCGGCCTCATGGGGCTGCCGACCGACGCCAGCAACCTGGCCGCCAGTAACCTAGCCGCCATGTTTCCCATGATGCTCTCTGGTATGGCCGGATTGCCTAACCTGATTGGCATGAGCAGCCTGCTGGGGAAGCCGGCTCAGGAGGGCGCAGGAGGCTTGGAGGAGAAGACAAAGGGAAGCGGTGCAGCAGGAGAACCGTCTGCCTCGAAAGCCTCAGAGCCCAGAGGAGAAAGGACAGAGGGCTCAAACTCCACTCCTTCCTCCACTTCCAGCTCCTCTTCCTCCGCCCCACTAAGTGCTTCAGCTGCCTCTTCACTGTCTCTCAACCCCTTGTTACTCTCCAGTATGCTTTACCCAGGGATGCTTCTCACTCCAGGCCTTAACCCCCCCACACAGCCGCAGAGCTCTAACTCTGGCCCCCCCCTTCCTCCTGCAGGCTCTTCGCAGGAGATCGCTCGGCTAGCAGCACAGAGGGACGCAGAGGAGGATGACGAGGCATTAGAAGACGATGACGAAGATGACTCAGCAGAACAGAAGGAGAACAGTGGTCCTGACGGTTCGGGGAAAGCTGAGTCATCTTCCTCGGAGTCTGGGAGCTCCTCTTCATCGGATGATTCAGACTCCAGTGATTAGGACTGATCCTATGAATATAATTATAAATTTATTTATGTATCGCCTAGAAATGTATACATATATTCACATATATATGGATTTTCCAGCACTTATGTTGCGATTTCTTTACATGTAAATACAAGAACTAACAAAAACGTTGTGTAAAAAAAGACCACAAAAACCTTTAAAAAAAACAGTAAAACTGACGTAAAAAGAACTGAAATAAAATGTCAGTGTTTGTTCACAAGGTACAGTCTTGTTTTGAGACATTTTGCATGTCAGACTTTAGTAGATTTCTGAACTCTGTGAACCTGTACCACACTTATGTACAATTGCAACAAAAAAACGGCATTATTGTAATTATGTCAGGATTTAATTTTATTAAAAAAGTGAAACTACATCAACATGCTCGTTGAGCTGTACTATTAATATATTTTGATTGTTTGGGGTCGGGGGAACGAGACTTGACAAACACTTTTCTTGTAAATAGTCGGTACTTTTACAGGTTCGTTGACACTTTTGCTTTGCAGATCATACGTTGGATATGTCAGCAATAACTTGGGCAGCTAATGAATGTCACTGAAGCTGTAGATTCTGTCTGCCATGTTCCACCCAGTGCACAACTCACCTGTCACATCACGTCGACTTCATTTCTGTATTAGTCCACATCCTTTTTGGAAAGTTACCTGAAGCTCACTCTTTGCGCTTCACTTTGGGGAAATCTATGGAAGTATTATGTTTTCAATCCGCTTAAATCTGTCAAAATGGATCGTAATTGAGATTTTAAGTTTTCACATTTCATTTGAGAAACATGTCCCAAGGCGCACTTTAGCTTCTGACAGCAGGTGAACACGCTCACTCGCACACACATGTTAATAATGACTTAAGTGTCAGTCTAATAAAGCTGTGGGACAGAAAACAACCTTTTACTGTGTGCCAAAAACTGCCCTCTGACCCTCTGAGGTCCTCATTTAGTTTATTTTGAAAGAATTCAGGATGGTATTACTACCACCCCGGCATATTTGGCTGCATCTTACCTCAACTGTTAAAATGGTCTGGCTTCACTGTGCAACTGTGCATGGGTGTGTGTTATTGCTGTCCATGTACAGAACACAATGTCCTTGTTTCTGCTGGAACGTGTTTGTCAGAGGCTGTGTTTTTTTTTACTCCGAGCTTCCACTGTGTTTTCCGTGGTTTCACCCCTCACCCGGTATCTCCTGCTTCCATCACTTCCAGTCTGAATGCTGTGTATTAAGGGGGGGGGGGGCTGCAAAGCTATGACCAGTAAAAAAACGTTGACCTTCTAACCTTAGAAATTTGGAGGACAGACCTTTGATTCTGTGTACTTTGGAAACATACAAGGCACAAGCACAAAACAGTTAAAGTCCCTCGCTAAGATTGAGTATTATCCTTTAGTGCCAGACGGGTCCGCTTCAGGAAGGGCTCGGTAAAAGCAGCTTGTGTTGCTGGGAGTTTGCAGCTTCTTCATGTGTTTGTCACTTTGTCTCGGATTGTGTTCTGCTGACGAATGGAGCTTCAGCTAGATGTAGAAGTGCCCTTATCCTGTACCTCACGCTCGCATTCACCTCCCGTCTGACAAACACCTATGTGCTCCACGCTTGTTTCGTCTATCGTCGTCCCTGCACACGTTCAACCAGGATACACATAAACACTGGAGTTCACTCAAAGCCGAAGTACCTTTTTGTAAATTCTCCGCTTGCTCTAGGACTGCTGTTACACAGCGGACTGTTAGACACACGTTTCAAAAACATTTCTGAAGTGAGGCTTTTGTTCTGCCTGGGTACAACAGAGCCCCCCTGACTAACTGTTGCTGTAGCATCGTTCTGTAGTGGGTGAAACCACGAGCTGCCCCTCGACTCAAGACTTGTATTCATTTCTAATGTTGCTTTCAAGTGATTTCCTTGTATGCCTGTTATATATAAATATATATAGACCTCGTCATGGGTTTTTGCTTGCAATGCAATTTGCTTTTTTTTATAGTATTACTAACAGTACAGTATTTTTCTATGTCTGAGCAAAGATCTTAAACACGCCACTGTCAGTTTGTAAATCTGCACCTCTGCTTTCTTTAACTCGTAGTGCCCTTATGCAAACACCCAGCCATTGCTATTCTGCTGTAGGTGATTCATTTTCTTTTTGTTGCCCCACAGCGATGGGTTACCGGATTGTGCGGATCCTATTAAGGACACATTGGGGGGGGGGGGGGGGGTAAAAGTGGTAGACAAAAGATTGGACTGCTTACTTTTCGCTTGTGTTATTTTATTTTTAGGTTGTACTGTACAAGGACTCCCGAAGCACTGCTAGTGCTAAAGAGGAGGTGTAGGATCTGCGTTAAACACGAGTAACACAATGACCAATATGCAAGAGGAATGACAGAACACACTACTGCTGTACAGGGGGGGGTATTTCTGTTCCATGTAATCACTGAGATGGCAAAACTAGCATCGTTGGTTTTGTATTTTGCTTTCAAGCTTGATAATATCCTAAATGTCACTGGTCCGTTTTTGTCTTTTTTTTTCTTTCATTGGACAGTTGTAATATTTGCAAGTTTTGGTCTGTGTATTCAAAATAATTCTTCATGTAGTGCAGGAAAACACGTCTTAAATTCATTTGTAATTTATTGGATTACTTTCTATGAAGTTCTATAGAGGAAATTGAGGTTTAATTATTTTTATTAAACATATTCTTCTGACTATCAATTAAGTGTGCCTGTTGATTTGTCTGGGGGCCTTTTTCAAGACATCAGGAACTCTCCTCACATGTGTTCATTATTACTGTTCTCATGTATTCACTTCTGATGTCTTCCTGTTCCACACTGCACTCAGCAGACTCGCTGGGAGAGGACGGGAAAGTATGTTCTACTTAACTTATAATAAAAGCACTTCTTAAAGCTTTTAAATGCATAAAATGCACTAGTGATGGAAAATAATCTGTACTTGCTTAAATTTAAGGCAACTAAAACCTTACTTTGTATGTTCCTTTGTTCTTTTTTGAGTAAAAGATAGCTTTTTGCACACAATGATTTACAACTCAGGAAAAAGTTGCTGACACATCAATTTTCAGAGTGCAAGTAGCACAAAAGGTTGTTATCGTAGTTCTAACTGTATCTGTTGTAATATAGCATTCAGTAGAGAAGTAATGCAACAATCACAATACACCTAATCCAAAATCTATCTAGAAATATGTAATTGGTTGCACATTTTATAAAGTTGAATCATTCATCATCTGGGTGATAAGAAAGATCCATCAAACGTTTCCAAGATTATTTTCAAACAAAACAGCCTAAAATGTGTTTTTCCCGGACATGAGTGCATGAACAGATCCCATTTGTATTACAGTAAAGAGTTGACATGTTTTCCTCCTGGATTTCCCTGTTAGTCTTCCTCTTGGTGGCGCTCCTGTTGTTCTTACAGCTGCTCACACTTCAGAGCAACACCAGACATGTCGGGGCTTGTCTCAATAATGTGAACTTCCTCGCTGTGGCTGTGCAGAGCAGCACGTGAGCACTGCTGCAGCCGGACACACACTTAAAACACACAGCACAGGACCCAACCTGGATTTTAAACCATAAAACCCAGAGTGACCGACACTGGTAAGTGACTTTGATCCTCGTTGTATTGTACTTCAGTCAAAAGTTCAAATTAAATGACGTGTTGCATGAAAAGTCAGCTGATAACATTCACCCTCTACTTCTGCATGAGTAATAACAGCTAAATGCTGCAGCACCGACTGACTGGAGGTTAATGATTGACTCTTTTAAAAGGCTCTAAATAGCCTGTTGTATTGTACAAAATGTGTTCAACTACGGCAACATTTAAATGGCTAGCACGTGTTGGAAAGTGAAACTTAGGCCTGTTTATGATGAAACTTCTGTCAGTGAACAAAACAGGAAATAGGTGTAACCCACTTGCTTGTGCTTTTCTCGCTGTAAGTGTATTTCTAAAACAGAACACAATCCTAGTGTCAGCTGTATTGTATGGACACTTTATTTCCATGTAATGCATAGAAAAGCTTCACATAGTACATCACACAAAAGACAGTTTGAGGAAGATTATGATGTATGACAAGGAGAGGTTGCATCAGTCCAGTTTTCTGTAGGCAACATGTGTTTCCTTTGACTCTTGACACTGGCAGTCTATTTGTAATGGAAAATTAACTCATCTATTGACAAAGGAGGGAAACAAATAATGTGTTTAAGAACCGAGGCATTTTCATTTGGAGGCTCTCAAGAATGAGATTATCTGTGATTCAAACAAGTAGCTGCTGAAACTTCTGTAGAAATAAGTCAGAAAATGTATTTGACAGGTTTAAAGGGATAACGTGACAGAATGACACGTGGTTTACTCTCCTGATTAGAGAAATTGCAGTTATTGTTGCTTCTGATTTTAAAGTGAATTGGGTGAACGCTTTTTCAGTCCATTAACCTGCAGCTCTGTGAAGATGTTAATGCTCATTCAGAGAAAGTGTGTGAGGCCTCAAGACGAATCTGTTGGAAACACGTGAAACTTTGGTGAAGAAGCATCTTTTCATCTACAATGAGGATTATTGTGGTGTCTCGCAAAGCCTGACATTAGTGCAACAGTAAAACAATCACCTTACTTGACCCTAAATGATAAAACACAACAATCATTTGATTGTTCAGATGTTGGGGTTTTTCTCTTTCTCAAATGAGGATATCACATTCACATTTTGTTGATAACGTTTCTAATGTTTTGGCCATGTCTATATACCTATATAACACAGGCTACATCGTTCTTACATACGTGCATTTTTGTTTTATTGGGGGGGGTCTGGGGGGGGTCCAAAAACCAGTCAGTATCTGGTGTGAGGGTTAGGGTAATGTTGTGAATCGAGTGGCCCATGGTGGTGGTGGGGTTATGGTATGGACGACGAACACAGGCCACTCGATTCACAACATTACCCTAACCCTACCCCTCACACCAGATACTGACTGGTTTTCGGACCCCCCCCAGACCCCCCCAATAAAGCAAAACTGCACGTTTCAGAGTGGCCTTTTATTGTGGCCAGCCTAAGGCACACCTGTGCAATAATCATGCTGTCTAATCAGCATCTTGATATGCCACACCTGTGAGGTGGGATGGATTATCTCGGCAAAGGAGAAGTGCTCACTATCACAGATTTTTTTCAGATTTGTGAACAATATTTGAGAGAAATTGTTATTTTGTGTATATAGAAAATGTTTTAGATCTTTGAGTTCATCTCATGAAAAATGGGAGCAAAAACAAAAGTGTTGCATTTATATTTTTGTTCAGTGTATAAGCAATTTGACTCTTCTGTTTTAAGGGATGAGCTGCCAACAAAATAAACAAAACCCCATCGAAAACTCTGATGTGAGCCTCTTGAAAATGTGTCTTTTGCCCTGTATGAATGTACAGGGCAGATGTTGTTCGTTCCCCAATTAGTTTGTACATATAAAAACGCCGCTGCACACATGTGTCTGTGGGAGGCCAGTGGGATCCTGGATGATAAACGGCACACGTTGGAGTGAAACAGAGCCTCCATTGAGACAGACAGAGGAGGGAACACACTCAATGTGGAATGTGGGAGGTACAGTAGGAGAAGGCCTTTTAAACTCAAAGTAAAAGTACGGAAATGGGGGGGGGTGATGGAGATTAGTTTTCACATAACCGAGCCTATGACAAAAGCTGACTGAGAACATAACAATCAGTTCAGCGTACAATGATCTTAAGCCGTCTGACAGACACACGACTTCCTGTTACACTCTCAACACGCCATAATCACACTTTATAATACATTTTAATTTCACATTAAGGTACCTTGCAAGGACGGAGCAGTACTCCATGTTTGGGAAGCTTTCCCATCTGAGATGCAGTAACATGTGACTCATCACATCTGTTGATAAGAGTAATAACTCTCATTGCTGTATGATCAATATAACGCAGGGCAGTGGATAAGCTAAGCATGCACACTGGAAGCAGGAAGCAACAGCTCTGGTCAAAGTTTAAAAAAAACACCCACCGACACACTTCTGACATCTTTTCAATATTATTTGTACACGTGATAACATTGTAAAAGTTGTTCACAGGGAGTCCCGTGATATAACTATTTATTGGCTGGGCCTCAAAGGTAAAGGAGGGAACAACCATTTCAAGGTTTGTTCGTTTGTGTTTGTGTCCCATGTGTGAAATTAAGAGTTGCTTGTAGGCGAAGCTTTAGAAAGAGCTACTTCACCGACACCATGTCTATGTGTCTTTGTGTTTTTGGTGCGTTATGGCAAACCTGTTTTCTTTTTGTCTAGCTTCTTTTAAAAGTAGAATCAGACTGAAAAAGCTAGGAAACTAAGAAAATATGACACATGGAAGAAAGAGCCTTATAGGACAAGTCAAGGGAATTAAATTAGTTTTTTTATTTTGCATATTGAGAATATAGGTTTGATTTATTCTCAAAAGTGTCATGGTAATTCTCCTCATTTTGTCTTTTTTTCTCAACATTGAAGTCTTCCTCTTCTCATTATTTTCCCTTATTCTATTAAAGCGTGATTTTATTTATATTATCAAAGCTCTTAGTTTAAAATGCCTCTAATGTTTTTTTATAAAGCACTTTAAATTGCCTTGTTAACATGTGCTATATAATAAACTTGGCTTCTCTAATGCCTACATGGCCCTAATTATTTACCGTTTAATATTATTACAAATGATATTTGTTTAGTGGTTGACGAACTTGAGGGGCTCAACCAGATTGTACTTCGTTGATAGTTTGTATGTTTCCTAATCTGAGCGTTTTTAATGTCCTTGTTTAGGTTCCTGCTCTGACTCATCCTGTGTGAGTAAAGGTCACCATGGACAACGGTCCCCATGGTAACCAGGGGCAATCGATGTTTGGCCCGAGTGACCGACTGACCGCTGAGTTCAGGTTAGACTTTTAGTTTTTTATAGAATCCCTGAATAACACCGTAACAGGGGCGGACTGGGGGGAAAAAGTGGCCCGGGGATTAATTGACAGACAGGCCCACTAAATGCGCGGCATGTATCGGCCGGCCGGCGACGAAAGTATGTTACTTAACAAAAAACCCTATGCATTTTATGTTATTTTGGACAATTATTCATATAGTAATCACATTACGAGTGTGCAACTCGATTTTGACAAGAAAGCTACTGGAGACTTCTAGAATTGTGTGAGTAACATTGTGTTTTTAGACTTCTCTGTTTCAGTGTGTGTACTCTGTATCAATGCTCTGTAGTTGATCTGACTGGAATTGTGATTTCAAAACTCAAAACCGCTACAGTATCTATCTGTCAGGCAGAAACTTGGGACAAGTCATTTGACTGAAACCTTAAATGTGAACTAACTGACTGCTAGGGTTAACTTTGATTTAAACATTTGTAGAATACTAAGAGCTTTATTGAGTAGGTGTAACTGTATTAAGGGTTAAACTCATAACTTTATAACTTAGGGTTTAATGTAATTGACTTAAAAGACAATAACACATCAGGAGGAAGCCAGTCTAGATTTCCTTTTGAGGGCCACCAGCTGCAGAGTTAACTAATTAAAGGGATGTTGCCCCACAGCTGTGAGAACTCAGCAATCAGGTGTCCATTTTAGGTAGCACTTTCCTGGAGCGTCAGCTTCAGCGTCAGACAGGCTAAGACTGGCAAAGACATTAGAGTCCTGCGGGAGTCAAAGACTGGCAAAGACATTAGAGTCCTGCGGGAGTCAAAGACTGGCAAAGACATTAGAGTCCTGCGGGAGTCACGAGGGAGGCAAAGACGAGGCAAATCCTACTTTGATTGAGCTAAGTATCGCTGGTGTTTTATTTTATTATTTTATTTGGTTGTTTAGCCCCTCATGCTATAATCATGTGTATTTTCTCCATTCCTGTTCATGTGCCTCCCCTCAATTATCACTGACCCCGTGTATCTTGTAATCGATATAACCGGCCTGCTCTCGTCTATCCCACATGCTCCACTGAGATCCAACATCTAGTTTCAGGTGGCCTGTGGAACTGCCAGTCAGCTGTTCCTAAGGCTGACTTAATCTCTGGCTACGCCTCCCTGCAGTCTCTGGATTTTCTTGCTCTCACTGAGACCTGGATTACTCCATCCAACACATCCACCCCAGCAGCTCTCTCCACTGCATATTCCTTCTCCCATACACCCAGACCAACTGGCAGAGGAGGTGGCACTGGTCTCCTGCTCTCTCCCAAATGGAGCTTTTCCCTCTTCAAACTACCTAACTTCACTCCTTCCACCTTTGAATTCCATGCCGTCACAGTAACCCATCCTATACAGTTAACCATTGTTGTTCTCTACCGTCCACCAGGTGCCTTGGGGGACTTCTTGGAGGAATTAGATAATCTCCTCTCACACATCCCTGAAACTGGCCCTCCTGCTGTACTTCTCGGAGACTTCAACCTCCAGACAGGGAAGATAGACAAACTAACATCTCTGTTAACCGCCTTTGCTTTCTCACTGTCTCCGTCCCCACCGACTCATAAAGCTGGCAATGTCCTTGATCTCATATTCTCAAGGAACTGCGCTACTTCTAACCTCTCTGTAAACCCGCTCTACACATCCGATCACTTCTTCATTTCATTCTCTCTACCCCTTTCCAAACATAACAAACTAATCTCTTCTCATCCTGCACTTGTCCGCCGTAACCTTCGCTCCCTCTCCCCCTCTACCTTTGCCTCGTCGGTGCTCTCAGCCCTCCCTTCCTCTGACTCGTTCCAACTCCTGCCTCCAAACTCTGCTGCAGAAACTCTCCTCTCTACTCTCTCATCCACTCTGGACTCTCTCTGTCCTCTCACATCTCGGCAGGCTCGTCAGTCCCCTCCTGCTCCCTGGCTAAATGATGCACTGCGTGCTAATAGAACCGTCCTTAGGGCAGCAGAGCGGAAACGGTGGAAATCCAAACACTGTGACGACCTCCTAACCTATCAGGCTCTCCTCTCGTCTTTCTCTGCTTCGATCTCTCAGGCAAAAAGCACTTTCTTTCAAGATAAGATCCAATCTTCCTATTCCAATCCTAAAAAACTATTTTCCATCTTCTCCACCCTCTTGGACCCTCCAAAAGCCCCTCCTCACTTCTGTCAAGCGACTTTGTTACCCACTTTGAAAAAAAGGTTGATGATATTCGCTCTTCTTTTTCTGACTCACCTTTACTCACCGCTGGGTCACCAGACCCTCCTTCCACCAACACACTAACCTCCTTTTCCCCTCTCTCTCCAAGTGAGGTTCTTACCCTCATTACCTCTGCCCGCCCTACCACCTGTCCTCTGGACCCTATCCCTTCAAACCTCCTTCAGACTATCGCTCCTGATATTCTACCGTTTCTCACCCATTTCATCAACACTTCTCTAACTTCTGGTCACTTTCCAAACAGTCTCAAGGAGGCAAGAGTAAACCCTCTCCTAAAGAAACCCACTCTCAACCCGTCTGATGTTATAAACTACAGGCCTGTCTCTCTCCTCCCGTTCCTGTCTAAAACACTTGAACGCACTGTCTTTAAACAACTCACCTGTTATCTCAATCAGAACAACCTTCTGGATCCGCACCAGTCTGGTTTCAAGGCAGGTCACTCCACAGAAACTGCTCTCATTGCTGTCACGGAGGAACTGCACACTGCCAAAACTGCATCCCTCTCCTCTGTCATCATCCTGTTGGACCTGTCTGCTGCATTCGACACGGTGAATCATCAGATCCTCCTTCGCACTCTCCAAAAACTTGGAGTTTCAGGCTCTGCACTTTCCCTCCTCACCTCATACCTGAAAGACCGTACCTACAGGGTGACTTGGAGAGGGTCTGAGTCCGACCCTTGTCAATTAACTACAGGGGTCCCTCAGGGCTCTGTTCTTGGTCCCCTCCTCTTCTCCGTGTACACAAACTCGCTCGGATCAGTCATTAGCCCGCATGGTTTTTCTTACCACTGCTACGCTGACGACACCCAATTAATTCTGTCCTTTCCCCGCTCAGAGACCCAGGTCGTCGCACGCATCTCTGCTTGTCTAGCTGACATCTCTCAGTGGATGTCTGCTCATCACCTCAAGCTCAACCTTGACAAGACTGAGCTGCTCTTCCTTCCGGGAAAAGATTGTCCCACTCTTGACCTAACAATCAACATCGGCACCTCAGTTGTTTCCCCGACTCAGACTGCAAGGAATCTGGGTGTGACCCTAGATAACAATCTGTCCTTCACTGCAAACATCGCTGCTACAACCCGTTGCTGCAGATACACGCTTTACAACATCAGGAGGATACGTCCCCAGCTGACACAGAAAGCGACTCAGGTTCTGGTCCAGGCTCCCGTCATCTCACGCCTAGACTACTGCAACTCCCTCCTGGCTGGTCTACCTGCATGTGCCATCCGACCTCTGCAGCTCATCCAGAATGCAGCGGCTCGTCTGGTCTTCAACCTTCCTAAATTCTCCCACACCACTCCGCTCCTCCGCTCCCTTCACTGGCTTCCGGTAACTGCTAGTATCCACTTCAAGACACTGGTACTTGCGTACCATGCTGCGAATGGATCTGGCCCTTCGTACATCCAGGACATGGTTAAACCGTACACCCCAGCGCGTGCACTACGCTCTACATCAGCCAAACGACTCGCTGCACCCTCGCTGCGAGGGGGACCCAAGTTCCCATCGGCGAAAACACGTGGGTTTGCTGTCCTGGCTCCAGGATGGTGGAATGAGCTCCCCATTGACATCAGGACGGCAGATAGCTTGCACATCTTCCGGCGCAAACTGAAAACTTATCTCTTTCGACTCCACTTCGAGCGATAGAACTATTAACGAAGCACTTTTATACTAATAAAGGACTGGCTTATCTAAAGCCAGTTGAGTAGCACTTGAAATGTTTGGCTCTATGAAACCTGATGTACTTATATGATTCTGTTTTCTTCAAGTTTGTATTTTGTTGGTCGAACGCACTTATTGTAAGTCGCTTTGGATAAAAGCGTCAGCTAAATGCAATGTAATATAATGTAATTACCTGAGCCCTTGAGTTGCCTAGAGCAAAAATAGTTACGGCATATATTTAGTGATTTTAATGTTAACATAATTATAAACAAGGGGAAGGTGAATTTAGCGATCACAACGAAAACGGCCAAGACACACATTGAGCCCAGAAAATGAATGTTATTAAGGCTGTAAATATAATAAGCATGTGTCTAAAATGGACAACATTGTTAGGAGATTTAAACTATAGGCCTACAGCGATTCTGCACTGCGGTCACTCAGCCGTCTCTCGCGTTTGTCTTTTCAAATCAGCTGCTCTTCATATTTTACAAATATTTTTTACTGAAAGTTCTTAATAAAACTGACACTGTTGGACTCGAGGGGAGAAGAATAAATGGACAACATTGTTAGGAGATTTAAACTATACAGAGAGCCATTTTTTCAAATCAGTAGCTCTTCATTTTCTTTTTACAAATATATTTTACCACAAGTTCTTCATAAAACTGACACTGTTGGACTCGGTACTAGTTTGACTGCTACTAACAATACATTGAAGTACTTTTACTGTGTACTTTGTGAGAAATACTCTGTCAAAGTCCCCTCCATATAGCACATAATCTAATGCATCAGTCCGTCCCAGGCGGGAGTTTATAAACCAAAGAGTAACCGCCCTTACGGCACGCTCTGATAAGTAAAGCGAACGCACCCGCAAGGACACCTGGCCAGGGATGTGACAGTTTCAGGGGTTGACAAAATGTTCCTTAAAACCCCTAATGCTTGCTGCAATCTACGCGATTCATCTCCCTCCATCATGTTATGTTGATTTGAAATCAGAAGTTCTGAACATGAGCCCGCCCCGCTCGACCTTCTGAGCCAATCACAGCGCAAGAATGACCTGCCTTCCGTTTCAACCATACTCCTTCCGTTTCCACTATACTTTCTCTCTCACATACATACATTCTTCTCTCACATACATATATTGTCTTCACACATACATACATTCTTCTCTTGCATACATATATTCTCTTCAGACATGCATATTATAAAATATATGTATGTAAAAGGAGAATGTATGTGCGTGAGAGGACCAGTATGAATTATGGCCTGTACGGCCCCTCATAATCCATCTCACACACACACACACACACACACACACACACACACACACACACACACACACACACACACACACACACACACACCCACACACACACCACACACACACACACACACACACACACACACACACACACCACACACACACACACACACACACACACACACACACACACACACACACACACACACACACACACACACACACACCATTTGTATTGTATCATTGTATGAGAGAGGTTCCAGGTTGAATTGAGGCGAATATTTGTAATGTTCAGAGGTTGTTGTGTTTAATATTCATGAGAATATTTGTCATTGTTCAAATGATAATAAACATTAGCATAAAGCATATTTGTCCACTCATATGTTGATAAGAGTATTAAAAACTTGAAAAATATTCCTCTAAGGTACATTTAGAACAGATAAAAAATGTGCGATTAATCGCGATTAACTATTTTAATCGACTGACAGCCCTAATATATATATATATATATATACATATATATATATATATACATAGATATATATATATATATATACATAGATATATATATATATATACATAGATATATATATATCCCGTTGCATGTATATATATATACATAGATATATATATATATACATAGATATATATATATATATATCCCGTTGCATGTATATATATATATATATAGGTGTGTGTATATATAGACACATATTAGTCTTATTTATAGAGTTATATATATACACACATATTAGTCTTATTTCTAGAGTTAGAGAATAATTATGAAATTGCCAAGAAAACATTATTTTTAGGTAATCAAATGAAATTCAAACACAAACATACCTAAGGACAACAATTGCATGTCACAGTAACTAAAACACAAAAATGTAAAACGATAAAAATAGTGCAAGATTATGTTGCAAGACCAATTTTCAAGTAATGCAGATGAAGCAAACTGTATACTGTACATGTCAACATTTGTTTACAATCAGCTAAACGTTGCAGAGAAGGTTGTAAGTGACCAAGTAAATACAGGAGTCTATACCATAGGTCTATACTCACGTAAATATAATAAGATAAACAAATGTACAGTCACATTTGACCGGTCCTGTTTTAACTGCTATTACATTAACACAAAAACCATGAATCATCACCACATTTCATTTAACACCCTTTCAAACTGTAAATATTGTATCAAACTACTGGTATACATGAAAAACTGCAGTAAATAGAATATAATTGGGAGGGATGAAACCCCTCTTTAATGGTCACACATGCAGAGCACACAGCACACACAGTGAAATGTGGCCTCTGCATTTAACCCATCCTAGTACCAGAGTACCAGGAGTCTAGTACTAGGAGCAGTACAAAGAACAGATACTGAACATGTATTGCGTGTGCCAGGTGTGATCCATGTGGGGGGATGGGCACATAAGAGCGGGACATGTATCAAATTGTTCTGTGTGTGTGTGTGTGTTTGCATTTGCCAGATGTGATTCACATGGGGGGATTGGGCACATAAGGGGACACACACATCTAGTGTGTGTGTGCGTGTGCGTGTGCGTGTGTGTGTGTGTGGCGGTCATTTCTGAATCATCCAAAATGCAATGAAAATGGTGATCAGCAATTGTATATGTTCAAATGTCTACTGTGAAGGATATCATAAAGCCTGAATGCAATCGAATGTAAAACAAAAAAGTTATGATTGATGAAAGTAGTAAATCGGTCAGATTTGACCCAAAGACAACAGGAGGGTTGGAACATTTATTGACATGTGCACGAAATGTGAATAGTCTTTGGCATTAAGACAACAAATGGATATCATATATCTTAAAGGGGAGGTGCAGGTATTGTGGGACGTGCTACTCATGTAATGGTTTATAAGCCTGCAGGTTTGCATTGAGACAAAGGACTGTTTAATTATGTTCAAACTGTATGTTTAGTTAATTAAACTCTTTACATTATTTGCAATTGCAGTAAGGGGCTTTTAAATACTTTCTGTGGCCTTTTATTTATTTTTTAGATGTTTTCCAACAAACAAGTCTCTTTATTTAACCACTCTCAGATAATGAAATGTATGTGTAATGGGCCGTGCCTCTCTAACTGCTCTCTGGTTTCTCTGGTTCAGGGCCTGCTGCAGAGATCCAACCGACGCGATTGAAACCAGATTGAGATTCATGCTGCAAATGTTTCTGCAACACCACAGGGACACGGCAGGAGACGAGAACAACCGTAATCTCACATATTAAAGGATCCTACAATAATAAGATAGTATGCTGAATGTTAGGAATACATGTATAATGAAAGCTCTCATCCTAATGTAAAGGAACGTTTTTACCTTATGGTTAATATTTCTTAAGGAAAAATTATTATGGCTTTGACGATACTACTGGTTTTTAGGCCAGAATTGTATGTTGGGAAATGGCAACGATGCATAGTTAAGACAAAGCCGACCACATTTAATATTGACGGTTTCTATCAGAAGCAACAATTTCTGTTTTGGCACAGCACTGTCTGCTCATCTAGTATTTTAAACAGTTGTGAAAGGTACATATAAAGTATATATATATATATATTACCTAAGTGTATTCACCTTATGCTACTATGGATTTCTACTCCACTACATTTTAGAAGCCATCCTTGCACTTTTTACACTACATATTTGTAAGCTGTAGTTAACTTTATATATTAATAAATACAAGTTAATGAAGTCACTATTGTTGCTAATTGTCGGATATGATCTGGTGGTGTTGTTCACAGATCTAGCAGCAAAGTCCTGCTGTGCGGCAGCAATATGGTATTACAGGATCCTGGAGAACATCCTCAGTCAGGAGAAGGAGAGGCTGGACATCAAGGACGGCTCGGTGAGTGCAGCGCCTTCATGTGGCCACAAGTGGAACTGCATGCAAAGAGTTATACTGCATGTTTATGGCATTTAAAGGTCACCTATTATGCAACATCCACTTCTTCATGTCTCTTCTATATCAACATGTGTCCCCTCTTCTTCATGTCTCTTCTACATCAACATGTGTCCCCTCTTCTTCATGTCTCTTCTACATCAACATGTGTCCCCTCTTCTTCATGTCTCTTCTATATCAACATGTGTCCCCTCTTCTTCATGTCTCTTCTACATCAACATGTGTCCCCTCTTCTTCATGTCTCTTCTACATCAACATGTGTCCCTTCTTCATGTCTCTTCTACATCAACATGTGTCCCCTCTTCTTCATGTCTCTTCTACATCAACATGTGTCCCCTATTCTTCCTGTCTCTTCTACATCAACATGTGTCCCCTCTTCTTCATGTCTCTTCTACATCAACATGTGTCCCCTCTTCTTCATGTCTCTTCTACATCAACATGTGTCCCCTCTTCTTCATGTCTCTTCTACGTCAACATGTGTCCCCTATTCTTCCTGTCTCTTCTACATCAACATGTGTCCCCTATTCTTCATGTCTCTTCTACATCAACATGTGTCCCCTATTCTTCATGTCTCTTCTACATCAACATGTGTCCCCTCTTCTTCATGTCTCTTCTACATCAACATGTGTCCCCTCTTCTTCATGTCTCTTCCACATCAACATGTGTCCCCTCTTCTCCATGTCTCTTCTACATCAACATGTGTCCCCACTTCTTCATGTCTCTTCTACATCAACATGTGTCCCCTCTTCTTCATGTCTCTTCTACATCAACATGTGTCCCCTCTTCTTCATGTCTCTTCTACATCAACATGTGTCCCCTCTTCTTCATGTCTCTTCTACATCAACATGTGTCCCCTCTTCTTCATGTCTCTTCTACATCAACATGTGTCCCCTCTTCTTCATGTCTCTTCTACATCACCATGTGTCCCCTCTTCTTCATGTCTCTTCTACATCAACATGTGTCCCCTCTTCTTCATGTCTCTTCTACATCAACATGTGTCCCCTCTTCTTCATGACTCTTCTACATCAACATGTGTCCCCTCTGTGGAAAGAGACTCTGAAAGTTTCAGGAACAAAGATTCTCTCTCTTTTTGATCCATTTCTATAAAAACCTGTCTGAAAATGAGCTGATCAGATTGTGGCCACTTTATGATGTCATAACGATGTTTTGTCTTGTGTAACCATTAGCCAATCACCAACCAAGGTAACACCCCCCCCCCCCTTATCACCTGAATCTCCTCCTAGAGCACCATTGTGTTCTTTGTAACCAAATCTCTCTCAGAGGGGCGTGGGGAGGGGCTCCTTATTTCCATCTAAAGTGACAGACAGAGAATCAGCACTTTTGAAACAGGGCTGAAACAGAGGGGATTATGGGTAATGCTGCAATGATCTGTTTGGTGTTTGGAGCCAAACACTTCAGAGACATGTTTTGTATATATCTGAGACCTATAATATATTGCTGAAAAACAGTATAATAGGGGACCTTTAACATCCTAATGTGCTTGCTGGTGTTAAAGTGACTCACTTGTGATGTGTGTGTCTCAGGTCCTCCTGGAGCTGGATCTGTTTCAGCGCTGCCTGGTGGCCTGTTGTCTGGAGATTACCTTATTCTCAAACAGTCTACCATACGAGTTCCCTCTGCTCCTTCAGGTCCTCACACTGGCTCCTTACCACTTCATCAAGGTGTGTTTCCAAGCTTCGTGCTGCTCACAGTGGGAGTTTTCCTGACTATGCGTACATGTTTGCACATCCATTGATATGCAATTAAATAACTTCATGATAAATAAGAAGTGAAGGACTAAGTAAATGTGTTATGATTTGCATTGGCTTGTATGGAGGTCAATTGTATTTCATAGACAAGCTCTACTGCAGAAAATATGTTTACATTTCTGCCTCATGGGAACTCTGAGTTCTCTGAGTTTCAGTCACCAAGATTTTCATATTATTTTCTAGTTTCTCATCTAGTTTAAGTTTGAAGCAAAGTAACACCACCTCTTAACTTTGAGAATACCTTCACCCCCATGTATGAGCCCTACATGTTTATTGTTTTTAGATATATCGTGCAGTATTTTATTGAACACTGGGTGGCAGTCATTAGACGCTCAGAGAATTCTATATGGGGGCATAGATGAAAGAGAATGGAGAGTTGGTATTGAATGGTACAAATACTTCAATAAACCACAAACAAAAAATTGCATATAACGACGACACATTTTATATATTGTGCCTGCGAGAGATCGCTACCACCTACCTGTGTTCTAAGGCAAGGCACGTTTATTTATATAGCACCTTTCAACACAAGGCAATTCAAAGTGCTTTACAAAAATGAAACATATTATAAAATGGCATTTAAAAACACTCATTTAAAAGCAAAATAATGTTCTATGACCTCACTTTCTTTCTGAACTTATCCTTTAGTTATGTCAAGTGTTTCATGCTATACGAACTCCCCTATAGAAAATTCTAACCCGACCCCATGGTACCTTTTAGTTTTCGACTAAACTATTCTTCTTTTTTAAATGCACATAAGTTTACCTTGTCTTTCTAGGACTTTTTTTGTCTAACTCCAACTGGAAAAGAGAACATTGTAATACGAGAAAATCGCCTTTAAAACACATTTTGGTTTCCCTGTGTTCTGACAGGTGATCGAGCTGGTTCTGCGGGCTGAGAGGTGTCTTCCCCGCGATGTGGTCACACACCTCGCCCAATCAGAAGAGAGAGTTCTGGAGAGTTTGGCCTGGACCACAGACTCCCCGCTGTGGAAAGCCATCAGCGCCAATGAGGGCCATCTGCCCACCTGCCAACAGGTTGGCAACCACACACACAAACTCTCTACCTGGCACCAGGAGATTGTCAAGATGTAATACTCAGGGTTCTTCCAAGGTGATGCTGGTGATATGATTATGAATTATGTTTCTATCCACTCAACAGGTGATGCCTCCTGCAAGAATTGAAGGTCAAAACCAGACAGACTTTCAACCTGACAGAAACCCACCTGGAGACATGTCAGTGGAGTTCAGTTTCGGAGCTGAAGCTTCTTCCAACACTGACCCATCAGCTGAAAACAGGCCGCCGAGAAGTAACTCCCTCCACCTGTTCGCTCGCAAGGTAAGTAAACATCCCACAACACGACATTGTCCTGGAGTCAACAATGGCTTTATGTCTTCTCTGTCCCTGGAAAAAGGGTATGCCTTTCCAGAGCCCAACCACTTCTCCACCAATACATATAAATAAAGCACCTGGTCACTGAAGCTGCTTTCAAAACCAAAGCATAAAATCTACTTAAATTATCTAAAATAATGACATTAAATAATGGTAAATGTTCTATATACAAACGATAAATAGCTCCAACAAGCAGCAATCATTTATAGAAAGGAAGAATGGAAACTTTTATAGTGAAGCAAGCAAATAGCGACATACTACATCTGTACTAGGGCTGCACTTAAGTAATAAATAAACACATTGTTGTATTAAAATAAGTAGTCTATGTACAGTAGAATCTAAACAAAAATATATGAATGCATTATTTCCATTCCAACTCAATATCAGAGGATGCAGGAACTCGTGCTACCACCGGTTGTTGCCACATGTGTTCGGCATGACAATCTCGTTTAAAGACCTACTTGTTCTCCCGTGCTTTTGCAGACCACGTATAAAACGTATCAGTCTGTGTTTTCTAAATTGGGGTCTTCTATTTTGTTGCGTTTTAAAATGTTTTTACATCGTGTATGACAGTTTTTCAGTCTGTGGCTATAAGTATGGTTTTATTGTCTCTTGCTTTTACATTCGTTTTTTTGTCCTAATTTATTTATGCTGCTTTGTATGTATGTATGGATGTACAGCACTTTGGTCAACTCTGTTGTTTTTAAATGTGCTATATAAATAAAGTTGGATTGAGCGTAAATGCTTTGTGTGTATGTAAACATTTCACCTTTTTTGAACAAACGTACTTCCAAATAAAACAAGTGCTGTTGTTTTTACATACGATATCTCATGCAGCCCTGATCTGAGCTGCTTTACTGTCTGCAGTGCTGATGCACTGTGTGTTTCTGGCTCAGGTGTACATGTTGATGGGGAAGCGTCTTGAGAAGCTTTGTTCCACGCTGGGCATTTCTGAGGAGCTGCGTCTGAAGATCTGGACGTGTTTTGAGCACTCTCTGGTTCACTTCACTGACCTCACGAAGGACCGACACCTGGACCAGCTGCTCATGTGTGCCATCTACATGATCGCTAAGGTGGGCTTTAAAACATCCTATGGTCATTTGTGGTTGTGTTAACATGCTGCTATATATGCACTGATGTCTACGGGGTATTTTGACTGTAGGTTAAGAGCTACATTTTTTTTAAAGTTACCCTAGTTCATTATTTCACACTCAAAATGCATCTGAATATTTGTGTTCTACTGATGCAGTAAAAGCTGTTTTCCCTGTACTGTAAAAGCATGAGCACAAGGGGTATAACCAATGACTATCTTAATGTATTGCTTTTTACAGATCACCAATGTGAAGATATCCTTCAAACACATAATTCATTGCTACGAGTCTCAACCACTTGCAAGCAGAAGTGTACGTTTGTTTATTGTTTATCTTTACCCAAAAATAAGAAAAGTGCATAGAATTGAAACCACTGTCATCTCAGGCAGCTGCTTAACAAATGATTATTCAAACCTAAGATGTGTGACTAATGTTCAATAGTTGGGAACTCATGAAGACATTTTCTGCTGTCAGGTCTGCAAAAGTGTGCTGATTTCCGGACAAGACACGGAAACACTTCTCAACGGAAACAACAGTAAGAGACCTTTTGTAGGAAACATACAGAAGTAATACAATTAAGGATTAAATGGTAACGTTGAAAAAGGAAATGATGATACATTGTGTTGTAAAACAATATACACTACGATTAGATTACATTATGCTTTCAATTTGCAATCATGGACACATCCTTTAAATCTGAATGAAACACTCTACTATTACATCAAGAATGATGCAGCTTCAGAGCTTCATTATAGCACAGGTGTATTGAATAACATTCATCATCTCACCACAGGAACTCACAGTATGAACTCTCCATCATATCAATGTTTTAAGACAATGTACTGTGATTCCAAAATGAAAAGTGAGCCTTTGTGACTGATTTACTACAGATAATGGAGACCCTGCTCACGCTTTCCCGACCCCCGACTCACCATCGTCACATTACCCCCCCGCTCAGGAGGAGAGGGTCAATCTGATCCGCTTTTACGACAACATCTACACCGGGAAGATGCACGACTGTGCCGACCAGTTTGACCCAGCCTCTGGAGTAAGTGACCATTTCATGTCTCAAAATGTTGTTAAAGGTCACCTATTATGCAAAATCCACATTTTCCTGTATTTTCTACATCAACATGTGTCCCCTCTTCTTCATGTCTCTTCTGCATCAACTTGTGTCCCCTCTTCTTCATGTCTCTTCTGCATCAACATGTGTCCCCTCTTCTTCATGTCTCTTCTACATCAACATGTGTCCCCTCTTCTTCATGTCTCTTCTGCATCAACTTGTGTCCCCTCTTCTTCATGTCTCTTCTGCATCAACATGTGTCCCCTCTTCTTCATGTCTCTTCTACATCAACATGTGTCCCCTCTTCTTCATGTCTCTTCTACATCAACATGTGTCCCCTCTTCTTCATGTCTCTTCTACATCAACATGTGTCCCCTCTTCTTCATGTCTCTTCTACATCAACATATGTCCCCTCTTCTTCATGTCTCTTCTGCATCAACATGTGTCCCCTCTTCTTCATGTCTCTTCTACATCAACATGTGTCCCCTCTTCTTCATGTCTCTTCTACATCAACATGTGTCCCCTCTTCTTCATGTCTCTTCTACATCAACATGTGTCCCCTCTTCTTCATGTCTCTTCTACATCAACATGTGTCCCCTCTTCTTCATGTCTCTTCTACATCAACATGTGTCCTCTCTTCTTCATGTCTCTTCTACATCAACATGTGTCCCCTCTTCTTCATGTCTGTTCTACATCAACATGTGTCCCCTCTGTGGAAAGAGACTCTGAAAGTTTCAGGAAAAAAGATTCTCTCTCTTTTTGTCCTGATCCATTTCTATAAAAACCTGTCTGAAAATGAGCTGATCAGATTTTGGCCACTTTATGATGTCATAACAATGTTTTGGCTTGTGTAACCATTAGCCAATCACCAACCAAGGTAACCCCCCCCCTTATCACCTGAATCTCCTCCTAGAGCATCATTGTGTTCTTTGTAACCAAATATCTCTCAGAGGGGCGTGGGGAGGGGCTCCTTATTTTCATCTAAAGTAACAGACAGAGAATCAGCACTTTGGAAACAGGGCTGAAACAGAGGGGATTATGGGTAATGCTGCAATGATCTGTTTGGTGTTTCTAGCCAATCACTTCAGAGTTGTGTATATATCTGAGACCTATAGTAAAGTAATGAAAAACAGTATAATAGGGGACCTTCAATACTGTATCCATTTCATCTCTTTAAATGGTATTTATAATTTATCCCCAGGGGGTATTGGATTTTGTTGCTCCACTTTACAATAAAATAAATAAGATGAAATCAAAAATAAATACTAAATCATAGAGAAGAAGTTCATAACAAATCTGCACCTTTTGGAAGAATAAATAAAATGTGTTAAAATGTATATAATAAAAAAGTATAGTATTATTGTATTGAGTATTACACAGTTGATGAATTGCCGGTTGCATATCATATAATAATAGTCCATATTGCACAGATCAATAATTATTGCTCTATTTTAACACACTCTGTGTCACTCTCACAGAGAGACACCCCCCCTCTGTCTCCTTACCCCTGTCAGGGGAGAGGAGGGAGAGCATCTCGTCAAAGCCAGCAGGTCTCCAGCAGCCTCCTCATCTTCAACTCAGAGACCCCTGGAGACCGAGAAGAAGGGGAGGATGAAGATGGTCCTCCAGCTCAGAGGCTTCGTGTTGCCGAATCATTCTTGCAGAGGCGACTCAGGAGTATAGCGAATGATCGCGAGGCTCAAAGAGACCGGGACCAACCGTCAATGTCACAGCCTGACCTGCACTAAGTCTCACTCTGAGCTGGTATAACTGTGGCAGCTAGAGCAACTTCACAGATATAGACAAAACAAATTCCTTTAGGCAAAAATCTGTCAATTCAAAGTCTTGTCCGTGCTAAAATTAAGTCAAAGTCAACTTTATTGTCAATCTCAAAATATGTTTGTACACACAGAAATATCGAAATACTGTTTCCCACAGTCCCGAGGTAGGCCTATAAAAAACTCACATTAAAATTAAAGAACACTCAATCATTTACAAAAACCTCCACAAAAACACAAAATAACCGTTTACTTCAAGTAAGCAGGATATTTAAAAAAGTATAGTGCAAATGGGAGTGCAAAATTGTCCATAGCAGAGTAAAAGTGACTGGTGCTGGATTTCTTTTTTTCGTGTGTGTGTGAAATGAATGAAAATGATGTCCTTTTGCTCTTATTGCACTATTTCGGACACTTTCTGCCCTTTAAGAATGCACTTAATCCCTCCGTTTAATGCCTAAAGTAGAAGACTGCTGTCGTCCTGCGCTGCCCCCTGGTGGAGGTTTTTGAATTTGCTGAAGAGTATGTCTCCAAAGTGCTCAGGTTACTTTCCTTGGAGTCTGTATGAACTGTAGTTAAAACTGTGGGACTAACTTATCTTTCCCATCAAATGGGGACGGGAATAATCTAAAGGATTACTCGTGTCTATGGTAGGGCTACAGGATTTGAAAACAAAATGTTGTGCCACCAGTGTTTTTATAAAAGTGACAGTGTTCATTTCAAAGGGGGAGACAGAGGGTGACAGAGGGTTTTAGGCTGTATTCAAACTCAGGTCCTTCACATAGGTGTGTGTCTGTCTAACCCTAACCCTAGCTCCAGAATAAAGGCTGCCCGCTCTACCAAGTGAGCTATACGTTAGCGCAGACTCATAACATTGCAATGTGACATGCAATAAAGAGGAAATTATCATTTTTGGAAGCCTTATCATTAAGAAATACATTTAATTGATCATGGTGTAATTTTTTTTATCATGTCAATAGAAGTATGTCGTTTGTAGGACGGGATAGATATTTTCACATGTTTTGTCTTTTCCAAATATTGCACTTTCTGCTTAGTCCAATTTTGATAAAATGTGAATTATTGTGCAGCCCTATGTCCTTACTGAAGACTTGATTGTAACGGGCTGGATTTTTCATTAGATGAAGAATTGTACTATTGTAAGTCACTTTACATTTATATATATATATATATATATATTTTTACAGCTGTCTAACCATAACTATCAGACATTCTTTTCTGCTTAATCTGTTATCTTTTCAAGCATTTTTAAAAGAAGTCGGTCTAAATAAAATGTATTTACCAATAAACAAAGCATTTTACAATATGTTTTGTATGTTTCTTTATCAGTTTTGTTGAATTAATACTAACATGTATTCTTAAATTGCCACAGACATATCAAGCATAGACTGGATTCTGTTAAATGTCCACTTTAATCTTTATTCTCTGGTTTATATACTCAGTGTCATGGCCTAATGAGAAGCACAGAACCTGTCTTAAATATCATTTTTAGCTTTATGTCTCCCATTCCACCTTGATACAAAGCTGTGTGTTTACCAAACTAATGATGTACAGTGTGTGTATCCAGAGACCCATTAGACCTGAAAATAAGAATCTGCAGAATTAATAAATTCCTCTGACTGATTTAAAGCAGAAACTCCCAGCACATCCATTGTTGGTAACCGTGGCCGTGATCGACACACAAACCCTTTCAGTGTTTATCTGTAACCATGCTTCGGCACGCTACTGAGTTAATTCTCAACCAATGTTGCCTGGGAGGTAATAACAAAAAGGGCGGTATGGACAAAGACTCTCTGAATAACAGTCAAACCCAACAGGAAGTCTTGAGGTTGCCATAGAGAACAAAGGCTTAGCCCACAACACTCACACAGGTCTTAAGGTTTCGACCGTTTCTTCAACACTACACGACTACTCAGCACACTGTAGTCGTTTTTTCTTGCCAAACCATGGGTTGCAACACGAGCCGGGGGGGCACTACAGTGGTGGACCCTTCTGAAAAGCCAGAGGAGAGGCCAAAGACTTCCACTTCCACCAAAGAAGAAGCCACAACGGAAACGAATGGGAATACAGACGAGGACAAGGATGAAGAAATGGACGATGCAAGCTGATTGCTATCTTTACAACTCATCCTACACTCTACTCAAAGTAAGAAATAAAAAAGGTTGGCTCCTTCCTTTTTATGGAATTCACATTAAAATGTCTCCTCATTTTACTTATCAGCCGACTTTGACCTTTCATTGTTTGCAATTCTTTCAAAGGAACGAGATTACGGTACCGTGCCATAAAGAGAGCAATTTATGACCATCGCATTGGGGTCACTTTGATACAATCACCTCTGTAACTTGACCGCCATGTCTCTCTGAGGCTATCTGACATGACAAATGGGCTGTGTGGTGACTGAGATGGTCTGTGTGTGTGTGTGTCGCTGTGTGTACAGATTGTCCTGTCCGGGGTGAAGGAGGGCCTGTCAGCAGGAGGAGGAGGCGACGCTGCACTACTGTCCATCAACCTGCGTGTCAACTGGGCCAGCAACACACACACCAGAAGAATTCTAGCTATGTTTATACTCGAGAAAATGTTTTTGTGTTCAATACACCCATTCCAATACTGTGTTCTGTACCTGTGTTGCCTTTATATTCTGTTCAAGCCTCTGTTTAGATCTTTTTACGGCCCTCTAGGGTGTTTTCTTTCCTTTGTTTGTTTCCACAGCCGTTATATATGTTCATCCTCTGATGCGCTCACACTCCTCTGGTCAGAGCTGATAGTTACAACACACTCTTTCAAACGCTTCCAATTGTGCTGCAGGCTAAAACAGCAACCCTTTAAGATAGTCAGCTTATGCTTCAGCTGTGGGTACCTTGCAGCTCAGACACAGAGTCACAGATAGTGAGTGCTTTACACAGAAAAATAGGAAATGCTGCCAAGAGTTGGGTTTAAAAGAAATGGTACAAGTATTTTATGGTTTTTGCCACCAGAGGGCATGGGCGAGCACTGCTGCAGTTCCCTGTGCCGCCACCAGGGAGCAGAAGTGATCTGTACACGCCGCTGTGAGACATCTGAGGCCGGCTCCATTTGCTGAAGACATTAATCTGAAATATAGGTTGTAAATGTATTACCAGCCAGTGAATGGAGCTGGAATGGAATAGCCATTTCACAAAGCCATATCAAAAATACTCATCTCAGAGGCAGAGGGAAATTACATGAAAATATTACCATTATACAAATGGAAAGTGTGATTGAATAATGTGCTGGAGAAGATAAATGAAAAGCACTTTGTTGGAAAAACGTGGTACTAAATAGGTTTTTAATTTCAGTCGTGGGATAAAAGAAGCACATTTTTAGCCCATTTCACTGCCAATTGATTCGTGTTTCCACATCTGCAGATAGAGAGGGAGCCTTATCGTCTCATTATCAGTTAATTAATATGCATGCACATATGCCAATTATCTTTCCTCTGCCATTTAGCAGAAATGAGACATTGATGTTTTAATGGCGCAGGAATGGATAACTCCTCTGTTGCTTTAAAGGCAGGCGCATTGATTGACATAGCTGGGAAATGTTAAGAGGGACAATTGAATTAAGAGCAACCTGAAACACTTGATTATTAGATTAATAGCCTCAGCAGCTCAGCCAGTTTCTGCGCCTCTCCAGGAGCTGTTTTTATGAATATATATGTAAAATATATCTACCAATGAGAAACATTTCATTTGAAGGACATGCAGAAAAGCAAGCTATTACTTCCCCCTGTGCCATGACTATTAAAGGGCCCAAGGCTACACCAAGTGAAGCAAACCCGAGATGAAAGTTATATTAATAATTATTCGTTTTACTGTACTGTGCAAGCTGAATTTATGTCCACGAGTCACATGCCAGTGTTATGTGCCAGTAAAATAGGCGATATTATGGAAGGAAGCACTATTGACATTTTTCATTTCTGCATAAATGCTCCCGGTTGCACATTATGCCCAAGGCTGTTTTTGTCTTTATCAGTGCTCTTTGAGTTCAATGCCATAAAGCTATAATGTTGCAGTGATTCTGTAGATCAAAACAAAAAAGGGAGAAAACACAGCTCTTCCGGCTAAATCCAAACCTCGATCCATGACGTTTCCACACATAAAACATCACAGAGGACAAACTCGTGCCACCGGAGGCAGCTGCTTACAGGACTGTGCCAACAAACAAAAAAACTGAAAATGAGAAGGGTAACTAACAAAAAACTCTCTGGGGTGTAATCTCCTTACTCAGTAATAGAGTATGTGAAATGTATAATGGGCTCCCACAAATATTCACAAGTAGTGCTCTTATTCTCACCGAGCCTCTCTTCACAGGGTATCTTTTGTGAATATATGATCAGAGGCACGGCAGCCCCGCTCTTTAATCTTACACTGGCCTTGAAGAATGTCACTGATTCCAACCACCACCACCCCCCCCCCCCCCCCCATCACCACAACTGCAGGCTACAGACATAATCATATTCACACTGCGGTGCAGAAATGCATCTGTGGTTGTTTAGAGACGCACTGGTTGCTTTATTACGACTTCAAATTATATATATATTCATAACAACGTGTCCCAAAGTGTAATTTAGGACTGGTTTATGAACAGTTAACTGAACTGAATAGAAAAAGGCTCGTTCAATGAGCTACACACTTTAAGATAAGTGTTGTTGACCTCTCGCTGACACTGGGTTTCAGTATCAGGGCGCTTTAGTTGTAGTAGTTTAATAATATGATTTCGTTTTTCATGTCTGGAACAGAACCATTTTGCATGATAAACCTGTTCACTGCGTTTTGACCTTTTGTTTTTCTGCAGGGTTAACTATCCTCTTCAGCTTTGAAACAGAAAGAAAAGGAAGTAGGAAATGCTCAGCCGTCTAACAGCATAATGACATGGTCTACTATACACGATCAGCACAATGTCATATAATCATAATCACTAAGTAATGATAGAGCACATTGATTTAAACAAACGCCAAAGGTTTCAAGAGAAGTACCACGCTACTGGGATTTACTTCCCGTTTTACAGCAACAAGGGAATGATGTGAAATATAGCATCTACATTATGTGGCTTTCTAATCTATACAGTATGTCAAATATATAAGGCACACTGACAATGCAATTGTAAAATGTAATGCAATACATCAGCCCTAACACAACAGCTATCTTTATCCATGCTAAAAGTGCACGGTTTTTGTGGACATTGTGGGAAATGTGTACGTTTTATTGAGGAGTTTAAGGGTGGAGCTGTGCTGGACTGTGTTCTTATAGTAGCATATGCGGCAATCATAAAACATACGTTAATTGACCCCTTTTAGTTTTTGAAGTAAAACCGTAACATTATAGACATCATAAAAGACATTATGACATAACAACAGTGCATTAGACTACTAGCATTAGATTTTCATTTTTTGTTGTTGTAAAGAATGTAAGTAATACTCATAAAGGGATCCTAGTATTGCAAAGTTATTTTTCATCATAGAAACATAAAGTTACAGGAAGAAACAGTAAAGTAGTGCCGCTAGTTTTAAGCTAGTTAACACCATACTGTAGGTAGCCTTGCACCAAATAATGGCTTTCAGAAAACATCAAATCTGATGTCTGTGATGCATTTTAACCGTGTATTTCCAAATATGATTTTGATATACTTTATTTATACCCGTGGGGAAATTGTTTCTCTGCATTTGACCCATCCTAGTGTTAGGAGCAGTGTGCTGCCATTTTGAACGGGGCCCAGGGAATATAGCAGGCTGTGCGAGCCCATAAGCAACTTTAATGTGTGTTTACTAAAGCCTGATAGCAACTGGACATTAAGAGACCAGCGTAGATCATTGGAGAGTAACTGAATGATTTCAACAATTCATCTTGCGTCTTTTGAAATGTGTTTTTTGTGTTTGACTGAGTCACTGCCTTTCTGCTCAGAAAGAAAAAGTCATCTTGTCATTTGAAGAGAAAAGTCACAAATGAAAAGCACCGGTGAATCATCCTTATATAATGTGGTCAATTAGACTCTCCTTTTAATGGACGAGCGCACAAAGGTTGTTTTTGTGGACTAGAGCATTTGTGTGCTTAATGGAGCACACATCCAAAAAGGTAATCTTTCTAAACAATGTGGAAAATGTCCCCGGCTCAAAGCTGCTCACAATCCATCCACCCACTGCTCCTAAAAGGATTCGCTCAAAGTCGACCCGAATGAACACAGAGACTGAAATATCTTACCATTACGTTTTTTGTCAAATGTCATAGCAATGAAAATTCTGTAGGACACTGCAAATAGATTATAAATGAGTGGAAAACCCTATAAAGTCCTGAAGGCAAATAAGATTTAGCTGAAGATAAAGGTCAGGGCGCTGGAGGAGAGATACGGCGAAGCATGTGGACGAGGATGACTTGATTATCCTGGATGGGAGCACAAAGAGACATGTCCTTTTGCAACGGGGTTACAAGAAATACCATCTTATAATAACAGGAGAAAAAGTGCCAGCTATAAAAGTGGATTCATTTAAAAAGCACTAGATGATGTAAGGATTATGATGCTATAAACCAAACTCCTATGCGAAGGTTGTTAACTTATACAAATGTTTCTTTAAATTATAGATAAGCATTGGAGGAGTTAATCCAGTTTGCAGTGTTTCTGTATCTAATGTGTTTCAAATAGAGAAGAGAGTGACTCTGCCAAGTCATTACGCTATGTAAAACTCAATGCAGTAAAACACAAGAGTTTGCCAAAAGCCTTCAGTATGAGTGTGTGTTTGGTTACTAATGTGTGTGTGCATGGTGCGTACATGTAGAGCCTTTCAAAGAAAATAGGAAATTGTACTCTAAATGTCATTCATTCAGCTCGGATGTCGAGGTGACCTTCAGCAGAATCAGCTCTTCCTATTGTGAGCGTGGACGGGAGGGCTGTGTAAAATATCAAATTTGATAAGAAAATACAAATTGGTGTGAAAGCAAACGTGTGATGGTAGCCGCGGTCAGTACGAGTCCAGATCTCCTGTCTTTCATAGGTGCTGTTGCTTTGTTTTAATAGATAACCTTTGTGAATACAGGGGAAATCCATACACTATATTATGATTAGCTTGATCAGGTAGCATGTTACAGGTAGGTGGATCACCATAACGCAGAGAAGGCTTGTATCGTCGACCTCCAATGCTGAAAAACACAACAGTGCAATTCCTCAAATGGTCACTTGAGGATGGATCCAAAAGCAGGTCAAGCTTTATAGACCCATGTGTTAAAAGCTAAAAACTAAAATGACAGCTACAAAAAAGATTTGGTCTCCATATCATCTCCCCATTCGTGACTAGTGGTGGTGTGGTATATTCTCACCAATTGAATAAGGTTTAAAGTAAAGCATAAATAAAGGGTGTTGCTGCTTTAAATTACTTGTGAGTGGCATTTTAGGTTGCCGGAATTATTATTTTATTGTTTCACTTCTATTGTCATCACATAGTACAGGTATTTTGTGACAAAATGGTTTCTCTGCATTTGACCCATCCTAGTGTTAGGAGCTGTGTGCTGCCATTATGAACGGCGCCCGGGGAGCAGTGTAGGGAACGGTGCCTTGCTCAGGGACACCTTAGTAGCACTTGGTCTTGCTGGGACTTGAACTGGTGACCAAGCCAAGTCCATATGGACTTCGCCACCACTGCCAAATTTAGGATTAGCCAGGAGTTTTTTTAGTTTCATCAATGCCAAGTTGGCGATGGTCAGTCACCAGCTTTGAGCTTCACAACCGTTTTTCAGTAACCTGTGGGAGACAATGTCCATATTTTATACAGTCTTTGGATTCGACACTTCACTAGACAGCTAACAGCAAATAGTTTATCATCCTTAATGGCAAGCCTTTCATTCTTAAAATGTGTCAACATACTAAAGCAGTGTAAAAATATCTTAACCCTTTGATACACAAGCTATGGAAACCCCCTCTAAGACACAACATGGGTCAAAAATGACCCGTATTGACTTACAGTGTTATTTAATGCATGGTTGAGTGTTTCTTTGCTATATTTTTGGAAATCAACTTATTTCATCATTAAATATTCAAAATATTCATTAAATATCTTGTTTTTGAAAACCCTAAATCATTACTTTTGTTTCTCCTTTGTTAATTACTAAACTAAAATATTTTTTATAATATTACATCAAGTTTACAGACATGGGTCGAAAATGACCCATGTCTGCAAGTGTGGTATTTAAAAAAAAAAAAAAGACATACTATAATAATGATTTTGTCAAAAAACATTTTAGCAGTGATTTGGACCAAAGAATAACACAATTAATATTTGAAATGTTTATTTGTCACATTGTCACACTCACACATAGCATACACCATACAACTGATAAAATCTGCAGTGAACTGTGGTGAATGCTGAATGTTTAAAATGAACTCATGACACTCATGAAACAAACTCATGAAATGAACTCATGAGTAAGTTGCAATCTAGTGCATACATGCCTCACAAATCACAACAACATGTTTGTGCTCCTTACACACAGGGCTGGTGAACTTGGAACACCAGCTAATGGCTTTTCGATCTTTGGCAGTTGGGCAGATCTTGCACCTCTTCCTCTTCACTTGGCCCTCCTGTGGCTGCGCTTACTTTTTTTAACCCACATCTTTCCATTGCCTCTGTAATATGGGTTTGGAGGTGGGACGTGCCCTCCATGCGTCTCCTCATGTGTGGCATGACCAGCTCTTTGCCCAGCTCCTTTATGAAGAGCCGCCGTGCATTAGTCACACCACCCTGTAACCAGGGTGTTGTGCAGTGTAGCTGGTGAAGGCGTTGAGGGTGGCAACATCCAGCACATTGTGCCAGAGCACCATGGGCCACCTCCGTGTTCTCCGTTTGCAGGTGTACGTGCGAACCATTTGATCCATTGTGTCCACTCCTGATTTTGTGTGGTTGTAATATTGGATCACTTCTGGCTTCCTCTTAACACTCTGGTCATCCACTGCTGTGTCATCATGCATTGTGCTTAGCAGCACAACAGCCTTCCCCTTTTTCGGGACATAGCTCACCATTGTCATGTTGCCACAGAATCCAAATTTGGAGCTGTACTTCTCTCTCAGTTTGTTTGGCTTCATGACAGGTGGTATGTCTGGCTTGTTCTGGCGAAGAGTCCCCACAAGCGTAAGGTTCTTCTCTGGAGCTTCTCAGCCAAAGGAATGCTGGTAAAGAAGTTATCCATGGTTATGTTGCGACCTATGAACAGAACAAAAAAAATGAATGGTCAATTTAGTCAACATGTAATTCTCTAAATTCTAACATTAAAATAAACCTGATGGAATATTGATTATTATTATTATGGAGTACTGCATTGTATTTTATTCCATTCTATGCTTATAAATTAATCAATTTCTCACAATGGTAATACAAAATGAAATAGACACTATGAGAGAGTGGAAAAGTGATCTAGGTATTGTGCTAGAACTTCAAGAGTATATTCACTGTATGTATACTCTGTATTCTATATTCACCTGTGTGTCTTATTCCGCTGGACAACTGTTGGACAATATTCTCGCCAAGGTTCCTCTGAATATCCTCTCCTGGCTGTCGCCCTGTATAGATCATGCCATTGAATGCATAATGGACCCTTGCATCGCACATCCAAAAGATTTTGATCCCATATTTTGCTGGCTTGCTTGGCATGTATTGTAAGAACTTGCACCTTCCACGGAATGGCACAAGCTGCTCATCTATAGTGACACAATCACTGGGGACGAACACTTTCTTGCAATTGGCCAGGAAACAGTCCCACACATATCTGAATGCAGCCATGTGGTCTGTTTCCAGTCTAACAGCCCTAGTCCTCTTATAATCAAACCGTATGAGGCGGCGGAAATCCTCATATCTGTGGAACCCCATGGTGGCCTTATACGTCGGATTTTGCAGGGGATCCAGAAAGAGCTCCCGCAAGGCCACATCCCAGCTCTTGTCCCCCCCTGCAAGGAGGGTCAAACCAATAAATGCCGTGAATTCCACTTTGTCGAGGCATCTCCACTCTTTTCCTTTTGCTGCTGCGGCTCTGCGTCCCTCTAAGTTAGTGCATCTTAAAACCTCCTCTATGATGTTATCACTAATGAACAACTCCCAGGCATCTTTTGGTGAAATGATTGTTGAACCAGATACGGGTCCTGGACACCTCCTCAGGATGTTATGGGTTCTTGCTCTGCCTTGAGTGGGGGGTTTCTCATTCCAGTAAGACCCCTTTTTACTTAGCCTATTGGCCTGGGTCTGAGTTTCCTCTTCAGAGGACTCATCAGACGAGTCTTCTAGCTCGTCCAAGGAGTCTTCTTCATCACCAGCAACTTCAGCTTGACCCTGTGGCACATAGTCTACGTCATCATCAGAGAGGTCAGACTCAGAGTCAGAATCAAGGATTGCTCCATCTTCCATCCTGTTCTTGATGTAACATCTCGATGACCATTTCAGCCGTGAAACGTGAATGAGTGTGACGAGCCATACTGTGGATGAAGAAAATCTAAATAATATTTACAACATCAGTTGATAAATTATACAGTACGCTTTTCTAATTCAAGTTTTATTTAGTTGCCCTAGCTGACATTAGCTTATACCTTTATATGACTGTATTTAAATGTATTTATTTATTATTATGTATGTATTTCCAGATTGACAAATGGGTTGAAAATAGTATAGCGTATTTATTGTGTAAGACATGATTACATTTCATACATGATCTGGCAAGAGAGTTGGCATGTATGCATTAGCTAATATTAGCGACCGCGATCTAGAATTGACCTAGCTAACACAAGCTAACATTAGCTAGCTAGAATAGAATATGCTAATGTAATGCTAGCTAGAATAGAATATGCTAATGTCATATTTCTCTTTCCCAACAGGTAAGGATAATGTTCAAATGTTATGTGCAGTTATCTTTTCTCAATATATTTTTCTTAGGTAAAACAATTGTAAAACAAGACTTACATGAATCAGATCTGAAGACGCAGCCTGTTTCCTTCTGACAAGAGTGGAATGTCAAATGTTGTCCAGTTGTTTAGTTCTGACCAGCACCATATTCTGACAAGTGAAAAGTTGTCCACAGTAAAAATATTCCTAACTGCACACATTTTATAAATCAAAGGTTCCTATCAAATTCACACTTGCACGGGTCATTTCTGACCCATGTGTGGAAACTTGATGTAGTGATACAAAACCTATTTTAGTTCCAAAATATAGACAGAGAAAATGAAAAAAAAATGATTTATGGTCATCAAAAACAAGATATTTAATGAATACTTTGCAATATTAAATGATGAAATGAATAGATTTTAAAAGATATAGCAAAGAAACACAGCCATGCATGAAATAACATAGGAAATTAATGCGGGTCATTTTCGACCCATGTGTGTACATTTTATGTAGTAATATAAAAACTATGTTAGTTCCAAAATTTAGACAGAGAAAATGAAAATAATGATTTATGATAATCAAAAACAAGATATGTAAGAAATACTTTGTAATATTAAATGGTTAAATACATAGATTTTAAAAGATATAGCAAAGAAACACAGCCATACATGAAATAACATAGGAAATGAATGCGGGTCATTTTTGACCCATGTTGTGTGTTTTAGAGTTGTAGTCGTACAAAAATGATTTTTATTAAAAAAGTAAAAAAGTAAAAATGAAAATAAGAATTTGTGATGATCAAAAACAAGTTACTTGAATTCCTGGAATTCTGAATGGTGAAATGAATTTATTGCAAAGATATTTACAATTAAAACCCTGTCGGGTCACTTTTGACCCATGTTGTGTATCAAAGGGTTAAGATGATCATGGTGTGATCTTTTTTTAAGACCTTTGACCAATTCAATATATGGTTATCTTCTCCATTGTAAGCTAGCATGACTAGCGTAGCACTTACATTAGCAGTAAAAGCCATGTTCCTTTGTGGAACTGGAACATCTACTGGAACAAAGGTGATAGAATATCAAAGTCAGTAACTAACGTGTCTCTGTCCTAAAGTGACCCCTTTTGGTTTTGTGTGTTGACTCCTATATCCTAGTGAAACACATGTGTTGTTTGTTTTAAAATGACTATATTAATGGATAATTCTGCCATAGTTATTAGTTTAATTTCTATAGGTGGCATGCTACCCACCCGTAGCAGTAACTAAGGCGGGCAGGGCCTAACATCTGCTTCCTGCTGATTGGACATTAAGAACGTCCTTCAAAAATGTTGGCTACCATCTACTAAGTGTTGTGAACAAATCTAAATCTAACAACAAGAAAATATGTCTTTGTGCAACATAAAGTATCATCATATTTGTTCTAAGTACACCAGACATCACGAAGAACGTCAAACAAATATACATTTGAATTGATGTAGCTTACTTCTTCTGTTAGCTTTGTGTGCTCATCATTTAACATTACTCGAAACAAATCCATTAAGATAAGAAAGGCTTATTATTACACAAATTTCCTCCACCAGTTTGCTGGAGCCTTTGTGTTCACCATGACAACAGCCTAATGCCCCTGAACATTACTAAGCCATCTGTAGAGGGGTTGCTTAACGCACATCAAATAACAATAATAGTCTGCTAATGGCATTATTGCCCGCTGTGTCATCATATCATCGTCCTGCACGCCTCGAGGGAAATGAGAATAATCTGGTTTATTGTTTTAAACTCTGATGGCCTAAATATTAAGATTGTTTTTATGTTCTATTTGTTTACTATACTGTGTGTCTTTATTACTGAAGCATAACACTCAAGGGCTGGTGCTGAATGGATGCCTTTTAGCCAGCATGTTTGTTTGTCTGTAGATCGTTAATAACAAGCTCTCCTCTCTCCGTGAAGAATGTGACCTCATCTCTGGGAAAAATAATTAGGATGGCTGTCCAGAGCATACTGAAGCCCCCCTCTCAGTCTCTCCCTGGAGCAACACTGCACAAAGACGCTCCTCTGTTCCTAATGCTAAGCCCGCCTTGATATTTCTGTCTCCACTCTGGTTAAATAATCTTACTGCTGGTGCTAAATCGAACCAAGTTTGTGGCCTGTTAAAGGGCAGCGGAAATTCGAGTAAGATTAGCCAGAAGAGGCGTTTTCCAGACTGAATGCAAAGGCTGATTTAAAGGCTTCACAGAAACAAAAGCTACACGTCAGGTTCGATCTCTCTTCAGCCCATACACATCTGTCTCATTGTTGCAGCATGCTATTAGTGTCCAATCATAAATAAATACTACAAGCTGGGGAACAACACGTCATAAAGAATAAAACCAGATTCAGGAGAACATTGGTATTAGATCATGTACAAAATAAAAAAACGCTTTGATATTCATAATATATGAGATTTTATAGCTAGAACATATTTCCATGATTACACTGCAGATATCATTACTGTTAGCAATGAGAGATGTGCTGCTGTTTTCCATCTATATTCATGTCTGCTCTAGGCCTGTTTAAGTTATTACATATCCATATGAAAACAAAGTGCATGATTACCTTTGATGTAGTTTGTGTAGCTGAACAATTTGTTAGCATGTAAACGCAGGTAAAGGTTTCCTATAGCGCAAATGATTGGCACACAGCAATGGCACATTTGATGTTGGCTGCTCTCATCTTGCGCCCATTTCCTGATGAGATATACATCTCTGCCTTTTTTGCATACAAACCAAATGAATCCTAATGGTCATTTGGCGGCTGCGTTAGACTTTTAATTAGCTGGAAAGCCTTTAGCCAAACTACTCTCATCCTTTACCATCCTTCAATCTCTACATGGGAGCTGTTAAGGGAGCCTGTTGTAAACGGTGTAATTGCCAAGGTCCTCAAAGCTATCCTCTGTGAGGCTGTGACACTGATAGGCTGTGTGCTTTGAACAATATAACAGTGAATGTGTGTGTGTGTGTGTGTGTGTGTGTGTGTGTGTGTGTGTGTGTGTGTGTGTGTAGAAACTGTCCGTTGGCATGTGTATGTATATACAAGTACTTTTATGTTGTTGCTATGTGAACAAAGAAAATTAGCATGTCTGAGTTCCGACACACAGCAGTGACTGATGATATTATCACCCATTAATGTTAATGTTTAATGGCTTTAATGACCAGTTTAATGATATCATCAGGCTTTTTGAGCAGACTTGGCTGTGCATGTGCATTTGTGTATGAAAATGGTTTGTGTCACGGTGTCTCGGTTTCTGGACGTCCACCAATTGTTCACTCCAGTGACTGCTAAATCTTTGTGTGTGTGTGTGTGTGCAGGACGTCCCTGAGTGTGTGTGTGTGTGTGTGTGTGTGTGTGTGTGTGTGTGTGTGTGTGTGTGTGTGTGTGTGTGTGTGTGTGTGTGTGTGTGTGTGTGTGCAGGACGTCCATGAGAGTGTGTGTGTATATGTGTAGCATCTGTTGGCTGAGTGGGGCAGTGTGTGTCGGTGCTCAGGTGCAGCTGCTCTTGTCTCCTGTTGCTGTGATCTCTGAGCTGAGAGGCATTATTAGCAGCCTGCAGCTCTCGTAGCCTTTTCCACTCTAATGACATACCCATCATTAAAATGCTAATTCATACTGTTAAAGGGGCAATTAAAAGGGTAATTAAAAAGGCTTTGTTCCACCAGTCTACCTGCCTGAACAGTCTGACCATTGCTGGTCCTCTTTTGATCTTTACTATTTCAATAATGCCCGAGGTTTAATCCCCTTATCCGGGTTCTACTGGGTGTCACTGGCTACTGGTGGAGGCTCACTGATAACAATGTAAGGACTCAAAATACAAAGCAACTGATGTGGATACAGTTATTGAAATAAAAACAACAGCACGCGATTAACAATAATGACATTTGCATATTATGTTTTGCATTTTTTTTCACAGGCTTAGAATAGACAACAGAAGTACATCTGAAATGATTACGATGACTTCCAACTGATTTTGACTGACTGTAATTAGTATAATCTAAATATTAGGATTAGTCATTTCAGTGGATCGAGCATTTTTCTTTACATTTCTACATCAATTATATTAGAGCCTATCTTGTTGCAAACTGCACAACAAAGATCAAACATGGAACCTCTTTTTTTGGATCCTGTTCCAAATCATTTCTGGGACGTGGGCTTATTATACAACTCGAATGAGTCATGTAGGAAATCATTTCATCCATCTGTACCATTAGGAGCCAGAAATATCTGACTCAAACTGCAGCACAATCATTTTGAGTTGTTTTGATGGATGACTGGCAACAAAGTACATCATTATCCCTGCTTTGTACACAAGCTCTAAACCCGTATGGAGTCTTCTTCATCCTATACACTGTATGTTTTCGTGTGATATCAAACACAATGGGCCCTGGTGAATAAGTAGCATGGTGTTTATCTATTATACGTAGAGCAGTTCGCTGCAGATACAGCCAGTGTTAATGAAAGTTAGCACAGATGGAACCCTCTTAAAATGGGAAAT